CACACCTTTGATAATGTCTTTTCTCCAATCTGAAAAAAAGCTTGCATTTGGGTAATATGAACAAGGCAAACGAAGCTTCAAGGAGGTAAGTGGTGAACCTTAACAAGCTGGTAGATCCTTAATCTCAATCTAGGACCATGAATATATAGGCCAGAATATATTTTTATTCTTTTTAGAGGCACACCTCCTAGTAGAATATGAGACAGCTTGTAGTATTCAAAGTACTAAATTATATTAATATTCTCTAATCAAGTGATTTAGTATTTGAATGAGACGAATGCTGGCCAGATGTACTGGAGTCTACAAATCAGCAGATTTTTTCCAGCAATTGTTTTAGAACTATTTGGCTAAATTATTATGCACATGTATATATGCTGGACAGACCGAATCCTGAACTCATCTGTCAAGTATGGAAACATCAACCCTACTAAATCTTTCAGTTTAGGGTTTTAAAAAATGCCTTATAAGTTCTTAAATGAGATTCATGTTACTGGAAGGAAAGGCGTGTTTCAGCTACAGAAATAATATTGCCAATTAACACAGGAGCGATAGCAGCTTAATCAGAATGGCATTATCTGGACAAAATTAAATATTTGCTCATTGTATTTATGTCAATAGATTCATCAAGCACATTCTTTCACCTTGCTTTCTGAGGTAAGAAGGCTACATGTTACATGCTACATGTTAAGTTACATGCTACATGTTAAGTTGGTTTCACCCCTTGCTTTTAAGACTTCACCAATGATCAAGGTCTGAGATTCTTTGTTAATCACTCTTTGTAATCATTGCAGATACAGCAAGAACTCGTAGATGGTAAAGGTGCCAATATAAAGAAAGGTGCCAAAATATAGGTTATTTTTGGCATTATTATCTCTCACTGGGTAATTTTTGACAAAAAAGTGTGAACCAATAATAGTTTGAAATCTGTATTTGTAACTATTTACTATTTTTGGAAGTTATTCTTCTGTATCTGAAGGTGCAAGGCTGGGATGAAAACTACTGTAAAACATGCTAAAATATAATTGCTAATATATATGCTAATGCAACTGGGATACTATCAAAGATATTGACCATTAAAAACATTAACTAGGAAGAGTGCAAACTGAAACTCTGAAATGGGTGTATCGAAACTTGTTTCTTGTCTCTTAACTAATGAGGGTAGTTACTTTTTTATTACCAAAGGAAGAGGGGAGGAAAAGAAAAGGTAACTGTCATAAAGAGAAAAAAGCAACCTTAGACTAAATTGTTTACAATGCTTGAAAGGGATTTTGTTTAAGAATTCTATCTGATCCCATGCCCTTTGCCGACATTGCTGCAGCAGCGTGTTACAATAGTCAATATGAGAAGTGGAATCACCTGCTGTTTGGGCTCCTTACACTATCTACGCACAGCAGGAGAAGGAAGGGTGTGAGGATGGAGTTTCAGTCATAACAGGGTGAATTTCCTGGCTTATGTCACCACCTTACCATTACTTAAAAGATAATTTTTCTTGTCTGTGACTACAGGAACCCAGGAGTTAAATCACTTGGCATTTCATATGGAGAAATGCTTTGGCTTAAATTTCCCTTTACAAGAGTAAAGATTTGACAAGTTTGGCAGCTCAGCTTCAGCATCAACATGTTTCTCTGGGAGGGAGGGAAATGTTAGGAAAATTTCATTTCTTTTGCAGGCCACACAGCACAAAATTCCAAGGGGGACTGCTCCATACTGCATTTCATACGCATCATCTTATGTGAGAGAATAGTCACTGGTTCTGATGCATGTGGGATGTGGAATGCAGCTCCTATTATTGCCAGAAGGAGCTAAATGTTAAGAGGGAGCTAAATAGCTACCATGGAGGCACTCTGCTTCCTGATGGTTTACCAAATCAACCTAGACATGACCTGGTGGAGGTGTGAAACTGTCTCCAGGCTTATTTCTTTTCTTTCAAAACTAATGAAAAGAAGGCTGCCCTTTTGGTGGGAGGAATGCCAATAGGAGGAGTGAGGGATGCAGAGGGAATGATTAACTCTTTCCCCTCCAGCCGTTTTTGCACTCAAAATCATTTTGATTTTTTTTATTTTGATCATGTTGATGCAGCTGCCTCTACAGGTAACCTCCATTCGACGTCATACTCTTTTGACTGTTCATCCCTTTTGCCTGTTCACACTTTCTCCAAACCTTCTTGTGTTCTCCTTTCAAACTACTAGAATATGGAGTAAACTAGCAAAATTCCAGGGCAAAATCTCCTTCTTGTTCACTAGATAAGACTGGAAATGAACCAAGCTATTTTCCAGGAATTCACAAAGTAATGGTGCATTTCTGGTTTAAAGTGAATTCCATACTGTACTGTGAATCCCCTGCCTCCTCCCATCCACCCAGCCCCTCCTCCCTTTCCCCTACAGGTATTGTCATAGACCTTAGGGGGGAAAAAACACTTCCCAATGAACAGCGAGGCTTTTAGTCTGGGTGCACTGAATCACAGTATGACAGGCATAAAGAGGAATCAAACCTCTCCTTCTTTCTCCCCATGACCAGAGCACCATTGTTGATGCCAGGCTGAATGGCAAGCAGGGGTTCAAGGCGAAGGGGAACTTAGACCTGCGAAGGGGGATTTGAGTAGGGCAGGGCAGAACTAGAAAAGCTTCTCTAATCTGGGATTTTACTCTATAAAACAAGTGATTTTAATTGAAGCTGGAGAAGAATTGGGGACTCCAAGTGCTCATCTCTTTGAGGCAAAAGCAGTAAGGCAATATATCTTATTTCCAAGATGAGTAATTTTTGCTAGCATATGAAGCCTTCAAGCACCTTCCATAACAAGTACTTGGCATAGCCTTGCATGACAAGAAATTTCTTTATATTTGATTCTGAGACCACTTTAGAAGCAGAATGCCTTGCAAATGCTTGTGTCCAGAGTGTCAAGTCAACAAGACAATAAGCAAAGACAATGCTGGGTTTTAACTACGTTACAGGTTAGAGTTTGACATGGCATAAGGAAAGACCCATTAATCAGGGAGACCCTCTGCATCCCAATCTGCACCTCATACTGTGTGCTGGGTAGTCCTTTAACGTGTGTAGATCTGCCATGGGATGTACCACTTGCATGATTCCCTGCTCCCATAGGAGTGCAGCTGGCATACAGTCCCTGAGCTAGGTTGCAGCCCCATTGCTCCAACCACCCCTGTCCTTGCTAGGGACTTGCACCTTGCATTGCTGTAGGAAAGCCAAATAGTGTGTGGGACAGGCCAATCACCCTTGCCAGGTAAAATTCCTTCCCAGGCCAAGCTGATTGGTGTCCACAGCAGTGGACCCATGCTCAAAGGGTCAGTGGGTCCAGCAAATCTGCAGCAGTCTGTGTAAGAAAAGAAGCCCAACCAAGGCTGCAACTTCCTTTAAGTAGCTGCAGCACAGATTGGAGGGAAAACTTTTTTCAGCCTGCTCCAGATTTGTCCCCACCATCCTATCCCACTGCTGATTGAGAACAGAAGCTGGTGGGAGGATGCAAGTGCATCCAGTGCCACCTTCCCTTTCCTGCCACAGCTTCCCAAACCACAGTACAAGCCAGAACTCGCCACAGCTGTGAACTCAGACTTATTACAGATACACACTATATTTGAAGAATGCAAAATAGCAGGCATGAGAAGTGCACTTATGCTTCAAAGATAATTTACTATGATCTCAGAAAACACTGTAATGGAACAGCTTTTAGTATGCTTTAAGAGGAAAATATTTTCCCTGTCTCAGAGGAAACAGCACGCCACAGTGAAACCAAATTAAGGCATGATACAGCCCAAGTTGAGTATTTAAAGTCAACCCCATTGTTTTAATAGGAGAGACTTAAGCGTGTGCTTAGCTCTTCCAATTCAATGTGACTATTTAGTTTTGCCTAGATCATGCCCTAATTTAATATATTTGGCCAAGTGGTTTTCAGTTATGGGATATTTTTGTATGGTGGCCTTTTCTGTTTCACAATAATGAAAACCAAACTGCTTTATCTATTAACTTGCTTTTAAACACAATTTGTGTTCACTTACCTGAATCCATCTTGATTTGTGTCAGTCAGATGGCAAGTCCCCCCATTATGGCATGGATTCTGAATGCAAGCATTAATGGGTGTGCTGCAGTCTCGACCCTATTAAAAAAATCATGAAAAATGGTGAGTCCTTTTCCATCTTCACACACAAGCATACTCTGTCAATTCTCCCTTGCCTGCATTTTCTCATTGGCAGAGACAAAGGATGAAGCCATTCTAGTTCCATGAAACTTTTTTGGTTCTTAAATCAGAGTTTCGAGAAAAGAAGAATAGCTGAGTGCTTGGCATTGAAAGGAAGAAGATAGAAATTACAAGGCACTGGATATAAATTTTGTCACCTAAAGTAATGCGTATACTCAATAATAAATGAATATGATTAAATACATCACTGATCATGCTCTTAACTTGATCAACGTCTCAACAAAGCAGTGATACAAAAACAGAGCAAAACTCTGTAAGAGTGCATGGTCATTTAAGAATATGAGTTTCTGTGCTCTTTTATCTTTGTAGCAGAGTTAATTCATCCTTTCACAAGTATACTAGTTTTTTGCTTGGAAGACAATACATCCAATAAATAAATCAAAAGACATCCTGTGCTACTCTCTAAATGCATTTAAATACTGCCAGGACACAATTCCATGGCCGGTACATACTGTCTAGATGGCCATAGGAGAATTTGGAAGTCCTAGCTAACTTTACTCACTGTGAGCTTGACATTGGAACTCTGAACTTTTAGCACCCTCCCTCCACCTTCAATTCTCAAAATGACTTATTTACTCAAGAGTTGTCCAGCAAGGCATGCCTGGGTTTACCCAACCTGAGAAGCTACACTTGGGTACTGATTATACAAATTTTATTTGGCAAGTGCTATGACTCATAGAACTCTGCTTTGAACATGTGATCCAGGTCACCAAAGTTGTCTGTCACACATTGTTCCTCCTTGTGAACGTCCTGGAGATATTTGATTGACCAATGCTGAAAAGAGGATAGATAGATCCAGTAGGACAAGTCCTATGGGACTATATTATTAAATAGGCTATGAATTATTTTCTCTAGAACTACATTGCCAAGAGGTAGTCTATTTAGCAGTTTATGTTTATGCTCAGCTGTTGCAGTTTCAGGACAGCTGGGGTGCTCCCAACCTCACCTCAAAGCCAGCTGAGGGGCTTCAGGAGGTGACATAAGCATTGCTCTGCTTAGCCGGATGACCATCATGTTGCTGGGAGCATGGCACTGAACGTGTTTCATCAGTCAATTTGCACTGGCAGATCAGAGGAAAACAGATCAGAGGCACACCCAGAAAAATTGCAGGACCCCATACTAGCCCTGGAGCTGCCTACATGAGAAGGAAGAAAAACCCTAACCCTTGCACCCAGTTTGTACTTAAAACAGCAGCAGGGTCACTGATATGGTCATCATATTCTGCAAGCTGTCCTATCATTTCAAAGATTGTGTGCCATTTGCCATATGACAGATACAGTGCATTGCATCCATCAGTCAGTTCTCTTGTATATGGAAGTGTGGTTTTAACTTTTAAATAAAGAGAATCTTTGCTTTTCTATTGGTACTTATAGCATTAATATTCATAGTGTAGCAAGGAGTTTATGACTTGTTTAAAAATAACGTTAGCCACTATAAAGTATCATATAAAATAATATAGGATAATAGCCAATATAATATCATATTATATCCAAGATATTTCCCAGATTTTTATGTGACTAAAATAAATACAATACAGTGATACCTTGGCTCATGAACTTAATTCGTTCCACAATTCTGGTCGTGAACTGAGTGATAATTTCCCCATAAGGTTCAATGTAACTAAGGTTAATTCATTCTGAACCATGAATTATACACTAAGGACGGCATATAAACGTTTTAAATAAATAAATATGTGTGTGTGTGTGTGTGCGCGCGCGCGCGTGCGCATGCGCGCATATATTAACCACAAAAATATGAGCCATGTCCCCAGGCTGCGGGCCAAGGCGCAGCTGCCTCACTGAGCCCGGGGGTGGACAGGCCGAGGCGGAGCGGGGCTGTGGCTCCCGCACCTCCACCACAGCCTTCTCAGGGCAAGCCGCCACTGCTGTTGAGCGTCTGCCATGCTTCTTCCCCTGCAGCAGGGAAAAGCGGGAGGTGCCCTGCTCGGCTGTCCATGGCCCCGTCCCTCACCTCCCCTTGCCTTGGCCCATGGAAAGCAGCCCTTACCTCCCTCCTTGCGGCCCTCCCAGCCGGGGAAGTCATCCTGCACCTGCCTCTCCAGCCTCCCACTCCTGCTTCCCCTCCTGGAGCCGGGCGAGCACCTGTGAGGGGGCTTTCCTCTGGCTCGGAAGCGGGGCGGCGGCGAGGATTCAGGAAGGCCTCGACCGAGGTGAGCGAACCCTCAGGGCTCCCCCTTGTGTCGTGTTCTCCCTTCTGGCAGATGGCGCAGCATCATCTTGGGCTTCTGCTGCAGCCCGAGTGAGTGGAAGATGGCTGCAGTCGTGTTCGTCACCAGATGCGGAGTTTGCAAACAGAAGCAAAATTCTGCCAAACTTTCTGTTCATGAACCGATTTGTTTGTGAACAGCAGCGTTCGTGAACCGAGGTACCACTGTATTTAAAAAAATGCTCCATAAGCCCCATGTCTTTGGAATGGGGAACCTTTTTATACAGGTCAGTTTCTTTTATTGTGATCATTGCTGGGAGGCAGAGGAAGCTTTGAAAGAGCTGAAAGTTGTATGTTGCCTGCAAATCTGGCCATAAATTCAAGTCTGGGCTTTCTAGAGGAAGGCTGCACATGGTATCACTGGGGCAGGGAAGACTAACTGGAACTCCCAAAATAACAGCTCAGCCAAGAGTATGTGCCAGGGACTTCCATCCTCAGTGCACCCCTAGAGTGGCTTCCAGGTAAGGCTTTTATTGAGTAATCACACTGCCTCATGAATGGACTGTTATAGGGAGTTTAGCAAAAATGATGTCTTCTGTCCTCCTTCTATCTTGCTCCTCACTGGTCCTTCTTTTTCCTCTTTAGCCAAAAGAAGACATTAATGAAGAAAAGATGTGAGAAACAAAATGCTTTTGTATTGGTATCGCTGGAAAGTACCACAGATTTCTCTTGTCCTTCAAAGCTAGAAATAGTGAAACACTTGAGAACTCACTTCAAGGATAATATCATTAACCAATTTTAAAAGCCACTTCATATCAGTATCAGTCTACTTCAGACACAAAGCAGCTATGCTTTGATGCATCTCCCCTCTTTTATGCACCAAAGATAACATGAAATCTCTGTCCGACAGATGCGGGAATGTGAGAGCATATAGAGCGCAGGGATGTGACAGATTGCACTTAAGGAATTGTGTCCTTTGTTGCATGCTGTATGGTTTGTAAGAGCAGCAATGCTTTGCGTCATTTTTGGGTGAATGTTTTGTATGCAATTTCAACCACCCAGGGAAGTGTGCAGAGATGGCAGAGGGCTTTCATAGGGTTCCTCCATCTCAAAGCGGAGAGCAGAGGAGAGAGGAAGTATCTGAGACTGCCCGTTCATGTTCAAGAATTCTGCTTCTGCTTCTTTTTATTGCTTTCTCTGTTGATTGACTGATGGGCCTTGTTGTTTGGGCTTCTGTGTAGGTTCATCTAGTCAATGTCTCACTCTCCAAAGAACACTTGTGTTACTCAAGGCATTGTGTTAAAGCTAAACCATCAAATTCATATACATTGGCCATCCGACGACAAGTACTCCCACTGAAATGTGTGGCTGCCTGGCTGATTCTAGGTTCTAGGCCATGGGTCCTCAAACTATGGCCCACGGGATGGATCTGGCCCGCTATGCCCATTTGTGCCGCCGCCTGCTGCCCTCGCTTGTGCTCTCCGCCTCGCCAGCGGTGGCTTGCTCACTCAGAGATAGTTTTGGACTCATTGGGAGATCTCCAAGTGAGCAACCCGCGGCGAAGCATGCCCGATGTTGCCTCACCAGCCCGCGTGCCAAGGCACCCCTGCCTCACTGGTCCGTGCTGGTTGCTGCAGCCGCCTTTCAACTGGCCCCCAATTGAAAAAGTTTGAGGACCCCTGTTCTACGCAGACAATAACAGTAACAGTTCTGTTCCAGCTGTACTTGTTGCCAGTGCATTTTCAGGTCTTATCTCAAGTGCTAGTGATTATCTTTAAAGTCCTAGCTCCCTTAGCAACACATTATTTAAAGGACAGCTTGCACCTTTAGGATTTGCCACACAGCTTGCTCTACCATATTGAGTACAAGAGACAGGTCTTTTCTGTGGTGACCCCATACTTATGAAATGACTGCCTATAGGGCTCTTCCCTGCTCATTTTTAACAAGACCTTAAAGAACTGGAAGTTTCAGTCCATTTTTAACAGCTGCTACTCCATGTGACATATTTTACATTTTATAGTTTTAACTGCTGCTAATACTTTCTTGAAATGGTAATTCAATGCTGCTATTTTAGTCAGCTGTATTAACTAAACGGGCAAAAAGACTATTTTGCATTTTTATTGTTTAAACTGACTTGAGAAGGTTTATACTTTTCAAAGCATAAACACATTTTTAAGTAAATGAACAAACAAAAGACGGAAAGGTGGCCTCACCTAAATAAGACTTCAGCTTTGTTCCATAAATACATATATTCCAAATTTGCTTTCTTACAAGATGAAAAGTTGTTCCCCATTATAACCCTGGATTCTCATCTTTAAGAAGAAATATAAACTTGAATGTGAACATCCCATGCCGTTTTATAAGTTAAAAAATGTTCTGCATCTCATCTATCCCCACAATTTTGAGCAGAATGATTGTGGGAGGTTTGTTGCCATTCTACATCATCTCCAGGTCCAGAATATGGCCCTATAGTCAATGGAGGAAGGGGGCAGTTCAAATACCAATAGAACCACCAACCCATAAAGTCCCATTTAACTTAGCATGACTTATTGCTGAGCAAAATTTATATAAGGCTGGACTGCAAGTATGTAAATACAAACCCAATGTAAGAGGAATGTGTGTGCATGTGTTTATCTGAAATCTTATGATGTTATTTCAATAGCAGTTATGTAAAGAAAGCATAAAGTCATCTGTTTGCACTTTGAATCTCACAAAGATGCTCTACAGCAATAACCAGTAAATCACTTTAATAACCCAAAACTGAGGATCTTGTAATAGCTACTGGCTGCACGATGGATTCATTGCTAATCTTGGGAGGAAGCGGTAGTACATTCAGCATTTTGCTGTTTTTGCACAATTTCAATGCATCTGATTTCCTGTTTGATCACAATATCCATCTTACTTTAAATCTATCTCTCAATACTATAATAAAATGGCTTTTATTATTGTTTCCAAAGCATATACATTTTTGGCACTGATGAAAAGAGCTGCACTGAGTGTACTTAATGTGAAGGGGATTTTTGAACCCCATATACTGCCTGAGAAGCCATTCCTGAAAATCAAGTTAGCGAAAGTGGCCGGTAGTACGAAGAGTTGAAACTGGAGAAAGGCATACGGGAAAATCCAAGTGAGTGCACAGAAGAACTTGCTTGTGCCTACAGAGCTCTCTGGATCGCAACCCAAGAAGGCATTTGAATAGAACCTCCTCAACTGTTCAGCATCATATCCATGCAAACATCTCCACAATCCATGGCTGCATTTCAGTAGAGATGGAGCATGTTCCTTGCATGCATAAAGGGTCTAGGTTCAATTTGCTGCAGAATTGCTGAGGCCCTGTAGTGCCATTGCCAGTGGAAAGCAGGGAACTAGATTGACCAATGGTCTGATCCAGGATAAGGCAACGTGACATACATGCTAATTTTTCCTTGCATAGTCTCAAACCAGTCCTGCGGACAAGACCATGAAAGGTTAAATTAGTTTTCGGCAGGTTGATTGCTCTTAGGTCATCTGAACCCTGCCAAGTTTAGCTGAAACTTACTCTAGTTTCCCACTTGTCTACACAGTAGCTTTACAGTGAGGGTATGACATTTTTATGATTAAAGTATACATGGATTCTTCTGATTAATACTGATATACTTTTTGAGGAAATATTTTTGTCTCATTAGACACTAATATGCTGCCTGAAGAATAGGAAAAGTTTCCATGTAGGCATCTCCTCAGTCAGACATTTCTGAGCTAAAATTGGAATCCATGCATAGAAATCCACAACTTCATCCACTAGATCCTACTGAATTACTTCAGCACTCCAATCAGTCATATCAGACAGAAACTGTTTTCATCTGTGGCAACACATGTGGCTGAGGACCTGTGCCTCTACAGTTATGAATTATATGCTCCAGATAAGAAAATCACTTTTGAATTAAGCTGAATGATCGTTTAAACTCTTTTAGCTTTCTTGCCTAATCGTACTTGGATTACGGTGCCTGCCATCTTGCTGATCCAGCAGTGCACTCCTCCACACAAGGTTTTTTTCTAAGTTTGCATCAAACAAGGAATAACAAATGCTGAGAGGGCAGACTTAGGACAATTTATCAAGGTAAAGGAAATAGCTTCCAGATGGATGGCTGCGTTTGGTGCTGGCTGGTGAGAAGGAAGCAAGGTATTGTTACTGAATTAGCATGGCACTCTAGTGGAGAACAGCTTGATATGAAGAGAATTTTCCTTTCATATGGTTCACATTTGAACTTGTCAAATGTCACTTTGGTTCAAAAATTTGTGGCAAAGATGTAGGGCTTTTTGTGGGAAAGGAGCTTACTCTGTTTCACTCCTGTCTCTTGTACTAGTTGCTCTTGTGCTTTGCTATTGCTTTTCATCAGCCCTTTCTACCCCATGACCTGCATCTATTCCATGACTTGTGTCAATTCCATCCCTCAATCCTATATAAACACAATGAGCCACATGCATGTGCAACAGTGCTTTTAGATTAGCACATGTGCATGCATAATATATCCAAAGCTGCAAGAAAGGATTCAATGGAAAAATATGATGTTCAAAATGTGTTAGCATTTTTCATATCAGGGGAGCATTTTCCCCAGCTGGGTACTGTAGCACACAATACAGAGCCTTTATCCCTTTGAACATCCCTGCATTCATGCCCAGAAGTCAGTTTTGGAATGCATATTCCTTAATAATGATTGCCGCATCAAGTATAGGCTCCTTTTCATACATGTGTTACATTACTTCAGTGGTTATCAGGCAACTTAAGAAATATTTCAGTGGTGTGGCCCAACTGTCATCATACCTTGTATCCAAATGGGCAAGTGCATCGGTAAAACTCCACAGGATCATTGTTGCAAGTCCCATTATTTTTACAGGGATTGGACAGGCAAGGGTTGCACTTGGATGCAATACTGATATCAAGAACCCCTGAAAAGCAACAAGAATTCAGATGAAAAATACTTATCGAAATAAAAAACATACATTTTCAGGTAATCATCTATCCAAGACAGTATTACTTAGTATAATTACACAACACTTCGGGAGCACTGCTTGCACCCAAAATGGGCTCTGGGGCAGCTCTATAAAAATAGAAAATAAAACCAAAATTGTCCAGAAGCTTACATAACTGCAAAGAAGCGTTTCTTAGGATGGATTCTTTCTACCATGCTACTGAGGTAATTAATGCAATGACAAGGCCATACAATTTGCAAACATCATCATTACCAGCTTCCATCATTATACATTTTGTAGTCTATACAAGTAGTAAAGTTCAGCAGAAAGCTTACAGGCCAGGCCTTCCTGAAGGCTGAAGGTTTTTATATTCCAGACTTTCATTATGCTCAGAATAAAAGTGTTTTTAAACTTTAAAACTGTATTACTGATTGTATTAAAATGGCCTCTATAATCCCATGGATATTGGGAAAGGGGAACAATTAATCTGCTTTATTATATCCCAGGGACTGACATTGTTTACTGTTTTACATCCTAGTTCCTCTTTTAATCTCATTGTCTGATAGTATTTTGCAATGTTTGAACATAATATTCCACCTTGAGATTAGGTCTTTGCAACATTATTAACACTGTTCTGGGTTTTTTAATATCCCATATAAAATCTCTCTCTCTGCTGCTGCTGCTATCTAACTCAATTGGAATGCATTTCAGAATAAACAAAAACCTGGGTGATGCTATCATTTTGTTCATGGCATTTCTGTAAACCAGTACATTAAATATTCTAGGTTTTAATATTCCATTTTATTCTCCCAAAATGTAAATTAATTTATCTCTTTGAGTTTTCATAAGTCAATTGAATAAAGAAATACTCCAAATAATGAATAGGTATAGGTATACTTGACCATTTTAAATTACATTGACTATTTTCTGTCTTCTTCTTGAACATGTATTCCCATCAATTCTGTCTTTAATTTATTTAATTTATATGCAGAGATTTGGCTATATTTATCTATTATGTGTAAAACATAATCCAGCAATTCCTCAGGGATTTGTAGTGATGTTATCACATCATCAGCATATAAACTGATCTAAGTCCTCATCTCCAACTTTTATCCCTTTGATATTCCCTAAATTTTGCCTAAGATTTTCTACCCAATTCTTCATGCTTATGGCAAGTAAGAGTGTTCAAATTTCTCTTAGAAAGCCAAATATGTCTGATAGTTGACCATTAATCATTATTTTTGCTGTTGGGTCTTTATAATTGCTCTTAAATGGCCAAGAAAGAGGTCCTTCTATATTAAAGTTCTGAAGAATGTTTTAAAAAAGTAATTCCTATCTGTCAAATGCTTTCTCTGCATCAAGAAAGGCAGTGATGGCTTTAAGATTAGGTTCATTATAAAAATTGATAGTTGTAGTAACTCTTCTATAGCTATCCAGTATTTTTCTATGGTGAGTAAATCCAGATTGGTATGCATATCTAACCAATTATCTTATTTAATCCTGATGCCAATAGTGCTGTAAAAATGTAATATTTTTTATTCAGAAGGGAGATTGACCCAAAAGAACTTGGGATCTCTTTTGAATATATTAATACTATTTTTGCCCCTTTCCATGAATCTGGTATCTATTGTGCATTTAAACAATTATCAAAATCGACAATGGTCAGACTAAGACAACAGTGCAAAGCTTATAGAATTCTGCAGTGAATCCATGCATACCTGGATACACATTTACTTAAGGTTTTTATGTTTTCTCTTATTTCACCTTCTGTTGTTAGAACATGTAAAGCTCTTTTATAGTGTTTTGTTAAAGTTGGCATATTCAAACTATTGAAGAAAGAATTTATGTCTTCTCCTGATGGTATATACATTAATTTTTCATTAATTAATTCTTTATTTTCAGGAGCAGGGTGCATCTATTCACCTTTAGAAATCTTTGTTCATCCCTAATGTTACAATAATATTTATAGTAAGGACTACTAAGGGGACAAAGGTTCGATGTAGGTTTCAAATATATTATACACCTGGCACAAGAGAGTGGAAACATTGTTGATATATTCTTATGTATCACTTAAAACCATAATATCATTCCCTTTAATTATGAAGTGCATGTCCCCTGAAAAATACTGGTTTAAAAAGTGGCAGTGCACAAACACTGAATTGAGAATCAGTGTGCAATAGTGCTTAGTGGACTACAACTGGGGAGGCCAAGGTTCAAGTTCCCACTATAAAGACTATAGAGCTCACTGGATGACTTTGGCCCAACTACTGATACTCAGCATCACTTAACTCACAGGGCTGTTGTGAGGATCAAACAGATACGAAGATCATGTACATTTTGCCTTTGGCACCTTGGAGGAAAAGGCAAAATATAATTGTCATAAATGAATAAATGAAGTAACAACAACTTGAACGGCTGAAGGCTGCATTTGCATACTGCCCTCATGCTTATATGGTGGCTTGATAGCATGATGTGCAAACTCTCTTTCTGTGGGCCATATGATAGGTTAACGAGAAGTACATGGTACATTTGCTTCCTTTCATCCTAGTCCTTCCAGCAGGTGGAATTTGAGTTGGAAGATAGCAAGTGGGCACCCAGAGTCTGAACCCTGTTCCTCACCCTCCAGGGTGTTTTGAGGCAGAGTTCTGCCCACTCAGCTCAGTGTTTTTTGTGTTTGGGGTTCCAGGATCACTGTAGCATGACACCACACGGAATACATTACAACTGCAAGCAGGGAGGGAAGCTAGATAGAGCTTCCATACACCTATACTTTATCTTCTTTAGCCCTCCAGATGAGTTGGACTCCTGCAACTCCCATCAAGGAAAGAAATGTCTGATTTAGAGAGGTGAGCTATCACTCTATGGCTTCCCTGGCAGCAGGGAAACAGCAGCTGAAGAACCCCTCTGGGCCCCCTATGGCAAGCAAATGAATGGCATGAGAGACAGCAGAAGTCCATCAGTAAAGCTGCACCAGAGTACGTATATATTTTGATCTTGTGCCTGTCATATATGCAAATTTATTTTCCAGCATAGTATTATTATGTTTCTTATTTACAGATGGTAAGAGGTTTCCTTTAAACAGGAAATGTTTTTAATTCAATGCCCCATGGTAGTTAAAAAAAGGCTGAAAATGTAAACAGTAATTAAAAACATAAAAATACTTTAAAACAAACACATGTTTTCCTATATGTCATGCACAGCCTCATAGCTTATTATACAGAACTGTGCAATTTGGAAAGCAAATGTGAGATTTTAATCTGAGCAAACTGTCTGAAAGGCAGGGGGTTGTTTACCGGGTGCAATTACAATCTACTGTGTTTATCTGAAAATTAGTGGTGGATGTTGAGACAGTTCATAGACATGCATGTTTGCTACTATGGAAAATCAGAAGCTTTCAAAGGTTGAGAGACTCAGCAGCTTTCCATTAAAAAAAACCCAAACCAAATGAGATTTCTGATAGACAACAATTAACATTATTTTTTGCATTAAAATGTTTAATCCAAAAGGTAGAGGAAAAAGTGGGTGAAGGGGAGGGACAGGGAGGGAGAGAGAGAAAAGTTACTTGTAAACAGTTAAATCCCTCACTTCAAAGCTGAACATTTTAAATCACTTTTAAAACACAGCCAAATTATGTGTACTAAAAACATAAATTGACAGTTCAGCTACAGATGCTATAAAAGCTGAAGCAGTTGTATCCAAAAGGATTTTTGCTTTGCTTTGCTTTGCTTTGCTGGTTGCTTTGGCCTCATTAACAGAACAGGTGTTTTCTTGGGTGCAATCAAAGGACAATGCTGACAAGCATGATTGATAGATAGGCTGACTATGTACCCTAGCTAGGTGGCAGCCAGCAATTCAGGTAAAAAGTGGTTTAGTTGTCATCCCTGAGTGAACTAGCTGTTTGTTTATACTGACTACAACCCTAAGTCACTTCTCTTGCATTCTGTCCTACCTTGCCTGATTTAAACAGGCTGTGAACACATCCATTCAAACAAAAATGGGATGCGAACCAGATTGACTGAAATAACCTTGCATGGGCCAAGCCTGATCCAGAAAAGATCTTATTGTAGTCAGAAAGAGGTATATGGTTACACCAAAGCCTGATGTATAGTGCAGCTGACACCAGTTTCCACTCTGTGGAACACTTCTAGTACCTGCCAGGAGATGATTTTCAGTACGGCAAAGTATATGCTTTGCAATTGCTTAGCCGAGAGCGCAGCAGATCATGTGCTTTGAATGCAGAAGGTCCCACATTCTGCCCTAGGAACTCCAGCTTAAAAGACCAAGTGGAGGGCAGCACTACTGCCTGCGCCCCTGGACAGCTGTCTCCAGCCTGAATAAACAATAACGAACTTGATGGTAAAGCAGTTTGATCAGTGTCCTATATATGGCAACACAGAGCAGAAAGCACACGGCACTCTAAGAGCTTGCTCCTACCTTTGCACTGGAAGTGGTGAGTTGGTGTTGTTAACAACAGCCTGTCTGCCATGTCCTCTGGGCTGCTGCACCGAGCAATTCCTGGCTCTTTATAGCCTGCCTTCACCCACTCAGAAAGCCAGCGCAAGTTGCAGTCGCAGTGCAAAGGGTTGGTTCCAAGAGCCCTAAGACAGTTAAAAAATGAACACACACAATATAGCTCACGTGGTTATTTAGAGGGTCCGGACAATTATGAGCTCAATTTTACGAAAAGATTCCCATGATTACATGTTAATGTAAATATAATGGAAACTGTTGATAACCTATGTGTACATTTCTGGTTTCTGATATTTTATGTGGTTACTTTCAAGATCTAAGTAACAATTCTGCTTTCCGTTGTCATGCCTACCGTATTTCCCCAAAAATAAGACCGGGTCTTATATTAATTTTTGCTCCAAAAGACGCATTAGTGCTAATTTTCGGGTGATGTTTTCTTTTGCATGTACAGCAATTTACATTTATTCCTTTATTCATGTACAAAAATCTACATTTATTCAAATGCAGCCATGTCATCTTCTTCTGGAATGTCATAACTCTCCAACTGAATTGTTGCAACGATGTGTTGCAACAGACGTACTAAATGCATCCGTCTGGCTGACAACCTTAACTGGGGCTTATTTTTGGGTAGGGCTTATATTACGAGCATCCTGAAAAATCATGCTAGGGCTTATTTTCTGGTTAAGTCTTATTTTTGGGTAAATAGGGTATACTACAGTTCTGCATCTTTAATACCATTTTTCTCTTCCATCTATAAAGGCGTATAAAGGACAAACTATCACCTAAAAGATCATAATCCTTGGTAAAATCAGTCCCCACAGAATGACCAAATGTAGGGATGAAGATGCTTTCCTGTGCAACACTGTTCAGTCTAGCTTCCTTTCAAAGCAGCCCCGCTCATCCCTCATCTTTAGATTGGTGGAGTTCCACCCTGCTTAAATAGAGTTGTAGCTAATTTATTAGAGGGGGATGAAGTGAAATTTCTGGTCATCTCAGAAACTCTGGGAGTTCATCAGGTCTCCCTTTTTGTGAATTAACTCATGGCAATTCTGGATCAGAACCACATTCAACACAGGGTTGGCAAAGGAGCACCTTGGCATTGCATATGAAAGGGACATTGTAATTAACTCCCTCACTTTTTGGTCCAAGGACAAATATGTCCCAGTGGATCTGAAGCTGCTGGCACAAATACAGTGAAGTAGGGTGAGAAAACCATGACTACACACTAAGGCATATTAATCTTGTCACAAACTCACTCTCTCTCCTTATATTTCCTCCCTCTACTTTCCACCCTCTATTATCTGGCCACCTGCCAGCAAGCTCATCCCGTACAGCACTGTGGCTGTCAAATGTCTGTAGAGGGCAAATCAGCTGTAAATGTTACAACTATTTCTGGTATTTTTCAGTGGTTTTCTAACAAACCTTTAGCTTTGGGTTTGCTATAATTTATTCCACTGTATAACTTCTTCTTCCTTCTCTTTTCTCCTCCTATATTATTTATTTACTTATTTTATACTGATAATTTTAATTTTATATTATTATGTTTGTGACTCAGTGTATTTTTTGTATTTTTGTATTTAATGGTAATTTATTATGTTCTATTGTATTTCAATGTATTTTATTGTGTTGTAAGATGCCCCGAGGCTTCGGCAAGGGGCGGCATAGAAATGTTATTATAATAATAATAATTATAATAATAATTCCAAACATCCCCTACAATAATGTATAATAGTAAATAAAATGACATACTGCAGGCTAATAATTTACATCACATGACAAAAGCAGGTAGATTATGTTAAATGCCTTGAATTATGATCATGATGTTTAGGAATGAGTTATGTAGACTTGATAATATTCTCTATGCATGTTAAATTTTTAACCCATTGCTATTTGGCATTATTACTATTATTATTATTTAAAAAAAATGGCTAAAAAACCCCTCCTTTTTCCCACAAGCAGATGTGTAAGAATACATTTATAGCACAACATAACGAGATCTATTCAGAAATAAGTTCCATTTGTTCAGTGGGGTTTGCTACCATTCATATAGAAAAGTAGAAGGCAGAAGAAGAAACAGAACGCCAAATATTTCCTGTGACTTCTAATATTAAGTTCAAGGCAGTAGATAAGTTTTGGGTATTTAATTACCAAAGTTAATTGGTACTATTCTTTTAATAAATATATATTGCATTGCTATAGGACTTATTTTCTAAAAAAATTACTTAAGATTTTACATTAGCATAACTTTGAACAGACTGGTACCAAAAATTCCACAGTTCTAGTGGACTGTTTTAGGACAATGATTTAAAGGTTAAGGGCAATGATCTCAGTGGTCTCAGATTGGTCTTGACATTAAGCTTTTGCTTCACTGGACTCTTTAGCAATAGTTCCTATGGAAGGAAAACATTATGTTGGATATAATCCCTAGAGAGAAAGTTAGGAAACTATTTACACACAAAAATGATCGAAACTTAATTTGGGATGTTGACATTTTCTGTTATAGATAACACAAATAATGTCTGAAAACAAAGTTCATTCTAAAAATGTTTTTTTTTTTTGGCGGGGGGAGGGAGCAGATGGAATACTGACAGATGAAATTCCATTAAAGTTGTTGATATAATTCCACAGACATGACTGATTAAACAACTCTGCCTTAGCCAAATTCACGCTGAGAGTTCATGAGTTGAATTGCCGGCAGGGGTTCATCCATCAAAATTAAATAAGTGCAGCAGAAACATTTTCTTAAAGGGGTCAAATTTCTACCCTATTTATAAATTCACACAGACCAAAACCATTTTGACCTGTTTTTTATGAGCTGGTGTGTGTGCATGCGCACACATTTACTAAGTGCCTATTTATATTCTATACATCACTGCGACATCTATTACTACTAACAAAATCAATTTATATACTGTTTATCAAGTCAAAACACCTCCTCCATTACTGTATATTTGTTTATTTATTAAATACATTTTAATCCTACACAACAGCTTGAAGGCTCTCTGGGTGGTAATTGGTAATAATAATAAATCAATTCACATACTGCTTTCCTATCAAAAGACATCACATATACCTACACATTTGTATTAAAAGTATACCAAAAATGAAATGGCACAATTAAAAAGAATATGAAAATTCAACATTTATTCATTAATTACTTTCAAAATAGACATTGTATCAGAGGTGGTACAAGTTCCAAAGACAACAGCTCTCTGTACTTGTAAGGAAGTCTCACTGAAATCAGTGGGATTAACTTCTGAGTAAAACTATTAACAGTCTGGGCTGTAAGGAAAGAGCAACATACCAAAGTTTCCATGCAGCCTAAAGGCAGAATGTAAGCCATCTCCAACAAGTATCATACAGTCTTTCTTTTTCTAAGCTTCTCCATTTCCATAAATAATACTGCTAGAATCATTCTATTATTGCTTATCATTCTGTTATCATTCTGCTTGGACCTTTAGAATATCTTTTCCTCTGTTCCCTTTAAAAATTCTGTACTCTTTCTGCTTAATTCCCACTCATTTCTGATGCCACCACCAACCTTCCTTCTGCTCAACATTCCTTGGTTTGCAACCACCATCCTGTGTAATCTGCAAATTTTGGTGTGGCCACCTCAATTAGTTTTTTGCCGCATTTCTGACATCTTGCTCTTCCTAAGCATAAGTGAAATAAAATACAGCTAGGAAGGTAGATACAGAAGTTTCCATTGCATGATAGCACACATGCCTTTTTTAATCCACTTGGAAAATTCTGGGGTTTTTTTCTTTGCTGAAACTCCTTTACTGAGATTTCACATGGATAAACAGCTATACCATGGCCAGTAGTACTACATGGAAACAAATTAAGGCATGCACCGATGAAACAGACACATTCCAATGTTGTCTTACCTACATTTGAAGAAAAGTTCAACCGATCAAGATTTCCTAACACTTATTCTCTGCTAATGCAGCTAAAAACCAGCACCCTGCTCTTGTCTATAAAAATCCCTTCCTTCTAAGACTGGGAACCCACCATTTGAACCCAGTTAGGAATAAAGGTCAGGCAATGAGAAGATGTTCAAAAGCACTTCAAGTACTGCTGTCAGTGATGTGCCTCCGGGTTGTGCTCTAGCATTAAAAAAAGTGGCTCCAAGTCCATGATCCGGGAAAACCGGGTTGAAACTGAACCCTGAAATCTGCACAGGCATAGAGACTTTCTTTTCTTTAACAGATTCTGACAAAAACCTGATACATTTAATAGCTGTGTAGCAGAGAGCATTTTGGTGATACAAGATTTCAAGCAGGGCAGCAAAAGAATAGAATCCCTGCTAAAGTACCTGAAATCCGTTCTTCTTTGTGTCTAGCTGCATTTTTTATTTATTGAATCAATGCAAAACATTTTAAAATGGTCAGTAATAGGGAAATAATAATGGTAATATGTTTTATGATTTAATATATTGGGATCTGCTCCAAATCTTTGGGATATGTTTTAAATAAAACCAAACCATAATAAGTAAGTGTGAATTATGTATCCTCCAAATATTTGATTGCTTATATTTATGATCTATTTTATTTCAAAACTTATGCTGATAAAAAAGACACACATGGTTTCTCAAGGTGAGCAATTTACCACACTGTATTATGATTATACCATGATCCTTGGTATAAATTCTAAGAACACCATAATATATTTATATGGCATTTTACAATTTGACTCCATGTATGGCAATCTACTCTGACGACAAAACATGTTATTGCTCTTCAAAGCCAAGACATTTAACCCAGAATATGTTATCCCAAATGAGGGACTCCAGTTCTACATTCATTTATTGAAGTGGCAGTCAAATGAATAAAGAAGGCTACACTAAGGTCAAGAGGCTAATTAAGAACTGGGGTTCAAAAAGCCTACTGAATGCTACATTAAAAACAAACACTAAAGCAAAGACTATTTCTCTTGGTTCCTTACTGTATAATCCTTCCTTCTTGTTTAATAGATCTCTGGAGGAGGTTATCTGTGAGTGACAGTTGTCCTGGAAATGATTCTGATAATAATTTCTTTGGGCCAGGAATTTTAGAAAAAAGTTGTTAGAAAAATTTAACAATCCACAATATTCACTAGTACCCTCAAACAGTAACTTGCTGACCCTTTCATCCAGCCAAATATTAACAACTCAGCTTTTTCAGGAGAATTCGGGCATTTCAATCTAACTTAGAATTGTGAAGATGTTTTAATCAGTTAAATTCTTTGTTATAGTCTTATTCAGGTCCTGCCACTGATGAATGTTTCAAAAATCAGCAATGCAATTTATTCTAAAGTTTATTCTAAAGATGAAAACTGCACATCAGTAGTATGTATAAATGTAAGTGAACATACAATAGCTGTATAAATCCTGCATAGAAAAATGATTTGTACAATTTCACTAGACTATTAAAGGCAACAGTACTTACAGATGGGAAAGTGACACGAGATCATTAAAAGACCCTTCGGGGACACTGGAAATATCATTGCCATGAAGAGTCCTAGCAGGAGAAGGAATAATATGATATCAGAATGAAATCCACCAAGCATCCTGTTAAGATATACACATAATTTAAAACTACTTTTCAAGAAAGACCTACTGAACAAATAACATAGGAAACAGCATATTGTGCCACATTCACAATTAAAAGCAAAATCATTTGTGGTATTTATTAAGAGTATTTATTAAGAAAAGGAAATCACACATATGCAGCCAAATCTATTTGTTTAAATAAAGTCTTATGTGCAAATGCAAAAGCATAGAACCACACAAAACAGAAAAGATTCAGGGCCAACCCGTGAACACATATTTTCAGAAAGGAAGCTAAGATTAGCAACAGCATGCAACAGTTCCACTATATAAAAAGATCTGAGAATATGTCAAAGCAGAAAATTCTTCCAAGACCAATATATCATCAGGGAATCCTGGCGTTTCCCTTATGATATAATGCTAATGGAAACTCTGGTTCAGATATAGCACCGGCACAAGTACATCCATAATCAAAGCTACCAAAGCAGAATATTTACACTCCTCTTTGCAGCCTCCATCCTGGAGCACACATGTCAGTGACCTGGTGCAAACTGTATTGTTGCTTTCTACCTGCACTTTCCAAAGGGCTAAGAGGGACAACCTTGAAACTCCATTTCTGAAATGAACTAGAATCATGCTTCCAGGCTCTGTGTTAACCAGGATGTTAGTTCTAACTACTGTTTACTACATAATCTTTCAACACAATCTTTTGGCTGAGCACTAGAGTTTATATCCACTTTTGGTTTGCTTGGCTTTATTTTGCAGATATTATTTTAACACTTACAATTCATTTTTAACCAGAAACACAGAATTAACATTTATTATCTCAGATGATAATGGACCTTTCTCTACGGATCAATAGCACTACAGAAAATGAGTCCCATTATAGACACTTTATTGTGTAAGTTTATAGAAGTTCACCCTTACTCAGAACAGCTGAAACTATACTTTAAAACATGTTCAGCTTCAAAAAAAATCATTTTATTTCTTTTGCTTAATATTGCAATTTGTTTGAACCTGAATCAAATGGATGAATTCACTATTTTTTGTTGGTAAGTCTACAATTTTTTTCTCTGTACCCTGCAAGGCCACAATTCAAAGAGGCTGCCCAGAATTGCCCAGCCTCAGAGCATTACAGAATTGATATGCATGTTGTGAAGTGCACAGAGGTGAAGGTTTCCTTCATGCCCAAAAACAGTTAGATGGTTGATTCTGGCTAAGTGTACCAGTCTGGAAGGGGAGGGAAGGAGGCAGCAGTGACACCATGATATGCCTGGACATGGTGGACATGTCATGAGCAGAGACAGCTGGAGCCAGGGTCAGAGTAGATGGCCCAGGAGGTCCCTTCTAATCCACCCAGTTTCTTTATTTCTATGTGCTATATGCCATCTATTACTGATGTAATTCCCATCCCCCAACGTCCACAAAGCTTCTTCCCAGTGGTCAGTTCAGGACTGTGATAAGTGGAAAGGACACTTAGGCACAGTGTCCCAGTTCTGATGTTACAACCGAGAATGTGAAAAGATCTTGCTCTATGCTCTTCTATATGCTGTCTAGGGATGGTCATGGGCTCTCTCTGTAATAGTAATAAAATATTTCAGCATCTTGAGATAATTTGGTTATATGAGATGAAAACCAGAAGCTGTGCAGAGTTTAGCAGACACCATGTGCAATGCAATCCAAGTCTGACCAGAAAGGGAATGCTTAAATATATTTAATAAATATATATATATATTTCTAGGAAATTTTCAGACATTTTATTCAACACTTCTGCTTGATTGTTCAGACAGGGTTCACTTAATAAGGAGCTGCTGTCAACTTCTTTTTTATAAATATACATATATGAAATGTGTTTCTAACAGACTTTTCTTTCTCTCACACCTTTCAGACGTATGCTTTAGAAAGTGCCTGGTAATGTATAAAGATGTGCTAAGAAAGATCCAGTCTCTTGAGCTTCTGAACAAATGATGACAATTCTCATTGCATTTAGTATTCTGAAGTACATTCTGATTGATAGGATGACTTTCCTCTTTAATACTGATAGAGCAAATTTGCTAAAATGAAACGATTAGGGAAGGAGTGGTTCATCTATGAGAAAGGCATGAAATGCAGACAATAACTATGTGTCCATTCTAAAAAGATACCTGAGAATGTGGAAATACTTTTACTGATTATTTCTTACTGAGATTCTCATGGGAATCCTGATAATAAATAAATGACACTAACAGATTGCACGCTGTCGCTCGGAAGCACTTTTTTCCTCAGGAGAATTGATTTTTAATAACAACGTAGATGACATGTGGAGAGGGTTGTCACTGACACCAGAGTTTCGTAGACTATAATAAATCAAATCAATCTGAAGGCTTCCAAATGCACACTGAACTCAGAAAGAGAGACACTCATTTATGCTTCGTTTCATTTTTGCACAGGAGTGAAAGAGCTTCATTTTATCTCTCTCAGAGCAAATGCAAGATATGACTGAGCAGGCCTTTCAAGCAGAGAAGGAGGCAACACCTAGATTAATAAACATGTGTGTTAGTTAGCATCACATTCATGCTATGTTCTATGAAAATACAGCTAATTTATATTTCCTTGCAACTTAGCCCTTGCACAGATGCAAGCAAGAAGTGCGGGTTCATCAATCACAGAACTGAGATAATGAATGATTTCCTACATTTGCATAAAACATTAGTTAACTCTTCACACCAGTTCTCAAATGATGGGACAAACTCATAATTAAATAAGCATCTGTGGAGAAACTCATGTGAAGTTGCCCTCAGCGGAACAGATTCTTATACTGCACCACTAATTGGCAGAGCATTGCCTATATCTGGTCATACACAACCTCTAACTGGTCAGTCACTCATCCTTGCCTTCTTCCACATGCTCCCCAGAATGTTTACTCTACAAGTATCTGTCTGAAGAAGAGAGGAAGCTTAAAGAAACACATGGGTAATGCAGCTCCTGTACTTTTGGCAGTTTTTGTTCCATCTGCTACCTGATTACAATGAAACTGGTTGCAGCAAAGAAGAAAGCCTCTTGCAGATGTTCCCTATAGTTTTCCCCTGCTTCCTAAAGCATAGAACTGTGTGCAGCCAGCCAATAAGGGAAACAGAAGCTATGCGGCTCATCATCGCTAGACTTGCTCCTAGACTGGTCTCCTGACCATGCGAGTTACAAGTTTCTGCTCTGTTGTGTAGAGAGAATGTACCATTTAATGGCTGATGTATATCCTGCTACAAACAATACAGCAGCCTACTTCCCAAAAACCTTCAGAATGAATATTCTTCTTAAAGCTCTAAAGGATTTCATGCTGTGCACAAAAGCCCAGTGTTCACCTGGATCTAGTTTTTGCATGACTTCTACATCTCAGTACAAGGATATTGGAGCTAATTGTCTGGAAATGTTTGTGATGTGGTGAATGGAGTTGAAAGCCATCTACTCATTAAAAATCTTGCCATCACCTGCAGCCTCTTTAAGGTATAACCCCAAAACAGTGAACAAGTAGGACTTACAGAACCCTGAGAGATTTAAGCCCATTGAATGCATGGACTGGGATACACCGTAGCCTGTTGTAGCTGAGGATCCTAGGAGAATGAAAGGTTGCATTAGTTTGCATTGATTTACTGAGGCAAAAATGGAGAATAATTCAGTAATTTAAAAAGATAAAATACTTGTTGCTTAATGAAGCTGACTTCACCCTGCACAGCAGTCAGAGTTGATGCCAGAACCACTAACTACTTACAGTGTTGATAGTTGTGTCATATTACTGAAGGTGTAATTTGCCAACATGCTGATGCTGTTGTTGCTCAAGTCACTAAGGAAAGATGCATACAATAAAGGTCATTGATGCCATGAAAACACGTCCCCCCCCCCCCCAGGTTAGGTTAAAACAAAACAAAACACTTTCAAGGTTCAAAGCAAATTATTAACAAGGACTGATTCTCTAGGAGAGACTTTATGTGTTTCATTCATTCAGTCATTTATTTATTTATTTATTTTTCTAAGCATGATTCATTGCCTACAGTAAAACACTCTCAGGGTGACATACAATAAAGCACATGAAGCCCCACCAAATCCACACACTGCCACTGAATGAACTGACACAATAAGATGATCATTTAAAGGAAGCAGAGACTGAAATATAACATAATAGTAAGATCTAAAAATATCACTGAGTTTAAAAACTACTTAAAAACAGAACATAATAGAAGAAATATTAAGATTTTTTTAAAAACTGTGAGGAAAAAAGCTAACAAAATGCGTATCAGGTGACCTTCTCTGGAGGGCATTTCATAACTGGGGGATACCACTGAGAAAACCTACTCTTATATTACTGCTTACTGCACCTCAGTAAACAACTTGGGCTTATGTAATAGTGATAATAATAACCACAGTTGCACAGTTTTGAGGCCCAATAAAGAAAAACCAGTGACTGAAAGGGGTAGTGATGGGAATGGTGAGTGGACCAAGAGAAGAAGACAAGATGGGTTTTGCTGCAAAGTCCTTTTGAATACACAACAGAGCCAGACAGAAGAATGAGGCAGAAGAATGGGGGGAACAAGTCACAGCACACCCATTCGACTGTTGGGTGTACATGGGTTGTTTCATGAATATCTATCGCTTATTCCCACGATGCTTTAACATGATCTCACTCTAAAGTTCCACAATTTAGCCTTTATAGCTGCTATAAGAAGCGTAAGCATGGAATGGGTGCCAAGAGTAAAGTGGAACTATTAAACAAGTAATTCGCTAAAATAATATTTTGTATATAAGGCATTAGTTTTGATACTCTGGGGTTTTCAAAAAACTGCTTAATGGCAATTCTTAGACTCAAGAGACACTGATTAAGTTTCCATGATGCAGCAACCAATCATAGGTGACAAGCGATGGTAGATTCTTGTGTCCTACAACCCCAGACAACTTAATTCAGGTAGGCTTCTTCATGAGCAGCAAGCTACCCCAGGAATCCCATGGGTTATTGTTGGGTTTGTTGAATCCACAAGTTGTTGTTGTGTTATCCAAACCTGGGCAATCAACCCCATCACAGGTTGTGGGAAGTGGGTAGTATGGCACTTGACAAAAGTGGCAAAAATCCCTTGTTGTTCTTGCTGAATGAATAAATTGAAAGTTTCATATGTGATACAACCCCATCAGAACCGAACTGAACCCTTTAAAAGAGAACAAGAGTTTTAAGGTGGGTTAAAAGTGGGTTAAAAGTGAGCCTATTCATCTGAGTGATTTCATGAACAACCTAGCCTATTTAGCTTCTTCACTCTTATATATTTATTATTTATTTAAAACATTTATATGCCATCCTTTACTATTGTGTTTACTGTTAAACAGAGTCTAGAATTAATTTTAAATACATTTTAAAACATTAAATTTTGTTGTACTAGCCTTACCAACAACTTGTTTTCTTGTGTGTTGACTGGAAGACTTTTTGTTATAGGGTGGCACATAAATATTATAAATAAAGAAATATCTGCCAATCAGACATTTTGTTGGATTGTCATCAGATACTTACATTAGTGTCAAGTGTCTGAACATCGAGAGTTCCTTTGGCACAGCAGGTAAATGGTTTCCTTCCAGATATCTGAAAATAATATTTTAATATTAGTTATTGACTACTTCTACAAATATAAAAACTTCAGAATACTACTTCAGGCTGGTCTTTTTTGGAAAAATTCAAGATGTAGATGTGCATTCCCGTTGGCATCAAGGGTACATCCAGCCAATTCTGTGGGGCCAAGATATGCACAGCTATGCAACTGTAGCCACTAACTGTACAAAACTTGTTTCTGCATGTTGATTGGTCTTCTTGGATCATGGTGTTTATGTTGTGCCCGTGTTTGTTAAAACAAAGCCAACATTCTATCCTCATATTGCAGTGAATGCTTTTTTGGAATTCTGTCTAAAACAGGTAATATTTGGGTTCCTTGAAGATCTTTCCCATGTCCTTTGGAAAGTTGCAAGTTAAACTCACACTCTTTTCTACTCTTTTGGTTTTGTTTGTTTATAAAAATATTTGGCAGCAAAGTAAGGCAGATCACTAAAAGAGATATACAGTAGGATTGCCGTATCCTTTGGCTCAGTTACCATGTTTGCAGTTAACCGCAGTTGACCTTGGCCAAAAGAGAAGTCATAAAGTGCCAAAGATGGGTCATAAAGTGCTTCCTGTAAGTGAACATTCTTGCTTTAATAGGCAAAGAAAAGAACCATATGCTGCAGTAATAATGAATGAAATTGTGAAAAAAGAAATGGACTGTATATAGTGTATATAAAATAGTGGGGTGGCCAGAGTTGCTCAACGGGAGTCGCATACAGTAAATGTCAGACGTTGGAAAGCCACAGGGAGATACTCGTGGGCAGTGGGAGGCAAGTGGGTGACTGCAGGCACCCAGGGGCAGCGAGCAGTGAGCTGCAAAATAACCTCCAAGAGCCTCATGGGGCTCCTGAAACCCCTGTAATACAGTGTTTGCTATTATTGGGCCCAATTGAAGTCCGGGCCCAATTCAGGGTGTTGGTTATGACCTATAAAGCCCTCAACGGCTTGGGCCCTGGGTATCTAAAGGAACGCTTGCGTCCATATATGCCCTCCCGCCCCTTGAGATCAGCAACAGATGCCCTTCTCCGGGAACACTCTGTGAATGATATTAGGAGGGCAAGTACTCGGAGAAGGGCTTTCTCTGCGGTGGTGCCCCATCTATGGAATGCACTCCCCAGAGAGGTCCACCTGGCACCGTCGTTATTTGTTTTTCGGCGCCAGGCCAAGACCTTTTTATTTAATACTTATTTTGTTAATTTATTAGTAGGTTTTTTTTAAAAAAATTTAAGCCGAGATGCACCAGGTTTTAATATTTTTATTGTATAAATTTTTATATGCTTTTGTTTGTTTTTGTTGTGAGCCGCCCCGAGGCTTTGTTGCGATGGGGGTGGCATAGAAATATTTTAAATAAATAAATAAATTATCTGCAGTTTCAGGCATCCTCTGGGAGGCTTGGAACTGATCACCATGGATATGGGAATTCTGCTGTATATCCTGGGCTGGCGTGCACAATCAAAATGAGGCAACCCTACCCAACCAATGGGCTATTGGAGTGTCATTTCCTTTCAGTAAGTCATGCTACCTGAGTTCAGATGGTATGACAAGTTGATCTCAGGTAGTGATTATAGAAATCACACACTAGATGGGTCTGGTCTGAAGCACCATTTATTCCCAGTGGGTTATTCGGATCATATGAGCTTGGACACTGAGTTCAACATGTAATTCCTCTGTGCATATTGTACCATAGATCTGAATGCGCCTCAAGCAGAAAAGCAGAGACTGAAATGTGCAGTAACCTGAGATCATGTTGGTATTTTATTTATTTATTTTTCAATTTATATCCTGCCTTTTTCCTACAAAGGGCTCAAGGCAGCTTACATCATTCTCCTCCTCCATCTTATCCCCACAATAACAACCCTGTGAGGTAGGTTGGGCTCAGAGTCTGTGACTGGCCCAAAGTCACCCAGCTGGCTCCATGGCTGAGTGGGAACTAGAACCCAGATCGTTTGAGTTTCAGTCCCAACCACTATACCACACTGGCTCTCACTGGTATGGTTTTGGGGTGTGTAAACATCAATGGAGTGGCCTTCTTCTTTCTTCTGGCTCTCTTGTAAATTAGTGGGCTTAGAGAAAAACACTGCTGTGGTCTTCTATTGGCTTCTTTGTTTAGTGCAATCAGTGAATAGGAGAAGAATCGCTTCTAGATATAAACCTCCTCATTCTAGCAATCCTAGAAATCACATTAACAAAGACGTGTAAGGGAGATCATACACGTCCTTGCTATAAGGTTGAGCTTAATTAAAGCTACTAAAAAGAACTCCAAATGCTAATTGACCTCATTAGAATTATTTCTGCCCTCTGACTGCAAATTGCTCATGCAGGCAATATTTCAATAACACATGAGAAGCTGACTCAGTCTAGCTGTGCTAATCCATACAACCATTTATTTTAACTGCTTAGGAAAAAATTAAAATGAATATGCAGTGTCTGATATAAGTGAAGCAGCATTATTTAAGATGTAAATGCAAAATCAGCTGAGGCTATATTTTAACTTTACAACTTAAAAGGAATCTACAACAGCACCAGCAGGATGCATGCATGATCTGGCAGTGTCAAATCCTCTCCCTCTAACACATGTGAGAGAGAAAAATATGTGTCAGGCTTCAACTCCCAGCATCCCCATACTAAGCGGGAAGCTGCAATGTGACGTATCTGGAGGGCCTCGGGTTGGAGAAGGCTGTGTCAAGAGATCCTGTAATCAGGAATGCTTGGTAGTTGGAGCTGTTCATCAAGATGGAGAGGATGGGGAGAAAGCATGGGGTCACTGGCAGTCGGAAGGTGGCGGTTGGGAATAGGTGGTTAAAAAAGTGGTGGAAGATTGGTCCTGCCTGTCTGCATCCATCCATCCATCCATCCATCCATCCATCCATCCATCCATCATCTGTCTCTCTGTCTGTCTAACTGTGCTCCCTCTCCAGCCAGAGGAGTATGGGAATCAGACAGTGGTAGTGACAGCATTGGAACAGATGTTGCTTATAATTATTTATCAATATGGTTGACCCTCAGTGACACACAGCACAGATGTAAAAAGTGTGCCTCAAACCATTCCACTTTTCTATTTTTGAGCTTGATCTACAGATTCATAGGTTTAACTTTCATTGGTTAAATCATGCAATCATTGACACATAACCAGGCCAGAGAAAAACCCTCTTTTCCAGAAATCAGCCTGTGTTTAGACTTACAATGTAACTGACACTGACCAGGCACCATTCCAGAGAAAACTAGTTGGCACTTGACAGGTAACAGCAACACAAACAAAGGGCAATTCACACCAGACCACTCTATTCTTCTCCTCTTCTATGTAATAGCACCCCATCCTCTCCCCTCCTTTGGAGCATCTTCTTTGGTATGCAAGTGGGAAAGATCACACCTTATAACTTTTTGCTTCTATTGGAAAGTGTTAAGTGTATTACATGTAACCATTTAATGATCAATGTATAAAGGGCCAACTGAGGAGTGCTCAGGTGCACCATGTGGAATGATTCGTTGGTAGCTGGTTATTTTCAGGAATAAATACTTTAAAAGAAAACCTTCCTCCGTTCTGTATTTTGGGCATACACACATCAGGACATGGACCATTTGGCCAACAAGCTTCTTTACAGCTAATCTCACAGCATCTTCAGTAGCATTTGACATTTTAATGGGGTTTCTTTCCCTTCATGATTACAATCAGCAATCAGATAGCAAGTAATGAAATCTCAGAGCCACTCAGATCTGGCTCTGTGTTTGCAAGCATCAACTTTATTCTGAAGCTATGAAGTAGATCTCACTTATGCTAAAATAACATTGGAAAGTCATTTTCAGATCAATCCTATGTCCTCTAGACAACGTCTAGAAAGTCATATGTCAGAAAGGAACTTGGAGGTCTCTGCTTGGATCCCCTGCGCCGCTTGCCACCCACATGGAAGAACTGCTTCAGCTGCTTCTTCATAGTAGTAAGAGTGAACTTGGATAAAAGGGTTAGGGACAGGGAAGGTTCAAAGAATCCAGGACTGTTAAGATACAATTAATCCTGGCAGTGCCTCTGCCTCCCCACCCATGACTCCAAAGTGCCTCAGATGTTCAAAATCAGCCTTCTGGTATTTCCAGAGTGGGGCAACCATGGAGAAGAACATTGCTTCTGTGCTGTTCCTATTCTACATGGAATTCCCATAATCCTGCAAGTTTGGGCTGTGGGCATCTCCTCCAGATTGCTCCCTAAAACATGCATCCTACTGAGAACAATATAATGCACACCTGCACTCAGATTTGTGTTCCCGTGGATCCTAATTTACCACATTGCACTGAGATTGTTTCATTTCATAAGGGTACTTCCAAAAAAAGTAATATTGACTTGTTTATTTTTGGATGTTGTTGCTATTGTCATTTCTTCTTGTTAAGGTTTTTAAGTTCTGTCATTTGTTTATTAAGCTGACTGTTATTTAAGCTGCCCCTTTACATTAAAGGTGGCTTACACCTTTTGCCAAAGCAAAATAGATAACCTCCCCTTTATTTCCTAAAACATGCCATTGTGATTGTCTAGCGGTAGCACTTCTACTGTGGGGGCGCCTAACACAATCTTTGCTCCTGAGCATTCATGCCATTGTTTGAAATTATAACATGTTTTCACTTTTTTAAAAGTCAAGCAGTCTTCCATTAGGCCACTAAAATTCCAGATAATTCTTACAGCTCTTTAAAAACAAACAGCAAATTCCAGTAACATTACTTCCACAATTGTGTCCAAGCACCATTTTGTAGCTCTCTGAAAGCTTTGCTTTCCCTGAGCAGCATTGGACTGAACTGGATTTTCCTTCCCTGATCATTTTTTTTTTCAAATGGCAGATTGCATTGCTATGTCCTTTGCAACAAGATTATATGTCTTGTATATGATGTATGTGCATATGTATATGTATATCTTCTTTAAATCCCTGAGTTGGTTATAGTTCAAGCATATCATATTTTAATAATGTATTTATATTAAAGATGTATCTCATTGTTCCATCTATCTG